AAAGAAATATCAAAAAAATAAAAGCAATGAATTAAAATGAAAAGTATTATCTAACTAGATTTCATTATTTTTATACTTCTAATATAGTATAAAAATTAAATTAATTCTCTTACGTTTCATAAAATCGTACAGTATAAAAAGTATATTCTTAAGAATGTTGGTTATCTAAGGTTAAACAATACAAAATTCTGGATTGTAACACTTTGAATGTTTCGTAATTTTTCGCATGCATTAAGGCGAGAGAGAATTTTACGTGTGCATAAAGGCGAGAGAGAATTTTACGTGTGCATTAAGGCGAGAGAGAATTTTTCGCGTGCATTAAGGCGAGAGAGAATTTTACGTGTGCATTAAGGCGCGAGAGAATTTTACGTGTGCATTAAGGCGAGAGAGAATTTTTCGCGTGCATTAAGGCGAGAGAGAATTTTTCGCGTGCATTAAGGCGAGAGAGAATTTTACACGTGCATTAAGGCGAGAGAGAATTTTTCGCGTGCATTAAGGCGAGAGAGAATTTTACGTGTGCATTAAGGCGAGAGAGAATTTTACGTGTGTATTAAGGCGAGAGAGAATTTTACGTGTGCATTAGTGTGAAAGAGAAAAGTACGCGCACCTTGCTGATCACTGACCTTGATGAAAACTCATTGGCTATCGTACGCAAATAAACATTATTTTCGTTATGTTTTAATGAAAAAGTAAGTATTACTATTTACAAAATCCAGTTAATGAATCGGTAGATTTAATAATTAACTTTGAAACACATCTCTAGGATAAATATTGGATATTGAATTTTTAAGTTTGTTACTTTTATTTTTCCTTTTTAGTGGAGATCCGATGAATCATTAGTGACTGCGCCAATGTTTTAAAATATCTAAAATCGTTATTTACATACATAAATTTATTTTCTTATGCTTTAGGCTACTATCTTTCAAGTAAAACCAAAATTTAAGTTTAAAAAAAAACGTATGCCACGTAATATAAGTTAAACTATTTTTCTTCGACCCGCCCCTACCCTGTTTACACACATAGAATATTTATTTTCTTTGTTTTCTTCATTTTATTTATTTATTTATTCATTTATTTATGTTTTAATACGAACAGCTATGGTTCACACTCCTTTCAATCTTTTGAACAGGAGTAGATGTTTATCCCTTGTTATCTGTTTAGTATGGGGTCTCCGCTTCTGTTAAGAGCAACTGTTAAGTTTTTGATGATATGACTAACCGAATTCTTATTGAGGATTCTGGGTCGTCGGTTTTCTGGTTGCTACATCTTGATTTGTTTTGAGTAGTCCGAAGTCTGTTGTAACGTTTAGAGAGTTTGTTCTACTCAATAGTTGCATAATTTCGGGTTTCTTTTAGTGTCATGTACAAGAATCTCTGCAAACACTTGTTGTGGTTAACTCTGAAGTCACACTATGCTGTAGCCTTGGCCACTTTCTGGTCAGCTTGTATTGTATAAGTGACTGTTATTCTTGGCCTTTTGTTTCCAAAAGTTTCTTATGACTACAACGATTAATAAAAATAAAATTAATCTAGGTTGCAGAAAACCACCTAAACCCCATTTTCTTCGTGGTATTCATATCAATTTTTTTGTAGAATCTTTTCTCTTAAAACATTATCGAAATAACCTATTCCTCAGTGAAACAAACTCGTCTATCACAACCACTAAACTTTCTGTTCAATAGTACCTTTCTCTTTATGGAAATGATTCTAGGGTGCATAGGCGTGGACTCGATGTCTATTTTTGGGAAAAATATCTCAGTGGGTAGAGAATTGTCTCTTGAGTCACTAGATTGTTCTTACATGTCTTTTTGACTTTCATTATTAAATTCTGTTATTTATCTCTCCTCCTCTCGAGATTTTAGGTTATTAAGCAAACTATCTGACCATATAGAAATCATTCTATCTTTACATTCACCTGCAAATATCTTTGCGTTTAGTCATTTCAACTGTCAACATGAAAAGAGGATTTATCATTCTAATACCACTGATCGTGCAAATATCCAGAATTTGAAATTTTTCAATTACTCAATTTATCAGTCAAATAGTAGATTT